ACCTGCCTCACAAGCACAGGGACCCGAGTTCGATCCCTGGTACACCCCCCAAAAAATACACGTTATTCACCACATTTTCACTTCATTCTATAGAAATTTGCAATGAATTTTCCCTGGACTGCAAAAATGAAAGACATTTTCCTAGCAACTATGTACAATTATAGATGAGTTCACAGCCTGCACTCATGTTTATATTCTAGATACACTGTAGACAATTAATGTTTGGTGAAGGAATGCTCCACCTTAAAAAATATATGTATCCATTTGCACGCTTATTTTTGTGAGTGACATCTGTTTTACAGAAGAAAAAACAGAAGTTGCTCTTAACATGCTTGGAGCATGTGTGTGAACACACATTCTTACATTTAACCTGTTACCCAGCAGTGTTTTCCTGTGCACATGCTTCTGTATGAACCACAGGCCAGATGGAAAGTCCCGAACACGTAAAGGTGACAGAGCAAAAGCTACACAGATGACAATAATTATGAAACAAAACAAACCAGTTTAGTGAAGGCGATATCTGAGAGCTTTGATGTCATTTTTATAATGTATCTGTGGCTGACAGTTGCCTTGTCCTGCCCAATAGCCATTTTGGTCCTTTTCGTCCCTACTAATAATCACCTTTGATCCCAAGATGGCCGTTGATCTCAGGGAAAAAGTTCTCTGAGTTGCAGAATATAATTCATGTCCATTTTAAAGCAGTCTTTTTGCCTTTGGCCAGTATTCCCTTAAAGATGTGCATATGACCCAGTTCCAGCCAGTGAGCCTGTTGACGCTGAAACATCCCCAAAGTGAACGAAGACTGAATTCAGCGAAGAGAAAACTCCTCCTTCCCAAGTCTGCCTGCCTGCAGGTAGTCATGGAAAACCACCATTTTGTGACCCAAAGAGGAAAACCAAGAATCACAGAGACTTCCAGCCTTATCTTGCTGAGTTGATGAAATAGTGCATCCAACCTCCTCCTCCCCGGCTTTACTGTGTGATAAAAATTCAACGGCACTAATTCCGGCTACAGATATTTCCTCATGCGTGGTGAGAAATGTATTTCTAATATTCTTCCTAGACAACATTTTGACTGAAGGAAATAAGCTAAGAAACATCTGGTCTATTTCTCCTTTCAGCTGCATGCACGACTAACACTGCCCGCTGGGATCGGCACAATACAAATAGGTTTGCATGTTCTCCTATCAGGTATAGATGCCTTCAAACACAAGACCAAGAACCTGCTATACAGTTGACTGTATGGTCAAAACTGGGCCTTTCTGGATGTTAATGACGTGAAATGAGTGTTTTTTAAAAATAAATATCTGAGAGACTTCTTTTTGGTTCTTCCTACCTGAGGAGATTACTTTTTCTTCCATAACACCGTGATTAGTGTTATCCGGTTGTCTGCAACAGAGCTGTGTGGTAAGTCATAGAATTACTTGAATATACAATCAGTCTATAATTAACCAGTGATGACAATTATAAATAACACTGTGTCCCAGAGTTTCCAAGAAACCTGACACATAGTTCTTGGGTATGCTGAAACATTTCCAAGAAAAGTAAAGAAGTGAAAAATCTTTAAGAAGTCGTCAATTAAAATGTGTTTCAGTAAAAATGACTTTCATGATGTTTGATACATATCACTGGGAAAACATTCATCCCTATCTTCACACCTCTAATTGTTTGCACTGTCCAATTACAGCTTTTCAGACTTAAGAGCTAGTTGGGACAATCATGTTGGCTTTTTGATATATGAAGAAAAGTTCACATGGATAAGGTTTGCATATCCAAGAACCAGATATTCACTAGAAGATACTGATTTTCTGGTTCTTAGGTCATGATTTCTACTAGCTTTATTTCCTGCCTCCCCCTTTTGTCCTGGGATCACACTCAACTCGGGACCTTGCACTTGCAAGGCAGGTGGCGGGACCACTGAGCTAAATCCCCTGTCCCTCTACCACCTTTTAAACTGATGTAAAGCACAGGTTGAATTTCTTTTCTTTCCTGTTTCCTTTATCCCAGCTCCTTTCCATCTTTCTTTCTCCTTTTTCTTGCTCACTTTCTACATTCACATATTTCATGGACTTAGGGAATTATGAGAATTATGTTAGATAGGAAATAATTCCTTTGTTCAAGTGATAAGAAGAAAAATGATAGTGCAAATTATAAAAGGAATCTACCATTATATTCCTTTAAAACCTTTTCTTAAGAATGATGAGGAAAAATTTCAAACCAGAACTGACCCACACACTGGCCATCAATATAAACCCTAATGATTACAAAAATGTAACCAAAAAAAGGCCAGTATTGGAAAATGAGAGCACACTGTGCATAGCGATGCTGCTTTAGGTGGAAGGACAAGTATCCATCTTTGTCATCTCAGACGGATGATTGATTGGACATACGGAGTCTTCAGCCCTGATAAGTTCACACACACATAAACATGCAGTGATTAACAAGCAAGATGTGATCCAAACTGTAAGCTCCATAAAGGCAGAGGCTACAATTTTGGTACAAAACACTACTGCAAGCACCTAGCACCAAACAGGTACTGATGTGAGTAATGACTGAAAGCTATCGATTTGATGTTATCTCATTCCCTGAAGTTGCACAGACTTGGTTTACTCATTGTAGAAATGATACTCAAGCTAGTTCAGGAGGAAAAGGCAAACACTAGCCACAGTAAGAGTGATTTCAGAGAGCATCAGCAGTCTCACTGTTATTGGGAGAAATCAGCGGAACGTCAAGGATGAGCTACTTCATACACTTTGGCGCGGAAGGTTTGATTCTGCAAGAGTTTGACACTAGTGTACCGCTTCATTTTCACAAATTAAGATTTTCACTTAAAGTCAAAAATAGGAGTTCAAGTCTTAGCTCAACTACTTCACAAGTGCACAGTAAAGAAATTGAGGAAAACCTCAAGAACAGAGACACCTTATCTGGCCAACAGTTACTGGCAGGTATTATTAGAAAAATAGGTTTTACAAAAGTTGTTATAATTCTACTATAGTGGTAGCTTTCAACAAACGCAACTTTCACTCCTACAACCCCAAAATGAGGTGTCAGAGAAATAAAGCCCAGTTGTGGAGGTGGGACGAGAAGTGGAAAGAAGGTGCCCAACAAGGGACAAGTATGGAGTAAAGTGAATGCAGATGGTTCCACTCCTGTTACTTAATCAAAAGGCTGTGCAGAGCCACTGGAACCGGTATAAAGTCATGCGTTAGAACAACAGCTGATCTGTATTAGGGAAGATTAACTCAGTAACATGGTGGCGGGCCCAGGATTATTTTACATACTTCCATTGCCGCACAAGCCGTCAGCACAATTATTGCCCTCCGATGTGAATGACTGATCTGTAACCACAGCTAAACAGCATGCTGCTTGGGGGCCTAGGAGCTTCATGAAGATGAATTTCCATACCATCAAAGTGCTTTTAATGGGCTCCCTGATCCAACCACAAGGCCTGTTTTGCAAGAATATAGAACTCAAGATGAAGGCTTCCTGTCCAAAAGGATTTGGTCGGTTGTCACTTGACAATTCCCAGCCAGCACAGGGGAGGAGAGGGGGGAGATAGGTAGAGTTGTCTCTGCTTTGGAGGATTAAAAAAAAAAAGGGTACAGATGCTTGCTGAATGCAACCAACTGCTGTATCCACAGCTGAATTCAATGCGCTTAACAAATAACGGCAATTTAGCTATGCTTGCGAGGAATAGCTTGAGTCACTTTGCATTAGCATCTGGCTGAGTGTTAAACTCATTTCTACATGGGGAGCAGAGAAAAGGAATTTCTGTTCAAGCATCCTTTCAAGAATGTTTAAATATTTGAATGTAAATTCCTTTATGCTTGCTATCATTCCTTCTTTTAGCTGTCACTTTGCTTTTCCTCTCCCCTTCTGGTGCTTAGCTATAAAATTTTTGTGTCCTTCTCACTGCAACAATGCCACCCTTCTTATGTTATAAGGCTACACGGAATGGATCCTGACCCATGTTCTGTCCCCTAGAGACAGAGCAGAACTGAATTGTTTCTCCATCCTACATTTTTATGCATTCTAGGACCAGGGGGAAAAAGCAGCTGTGACAGGATCATCGCTACATTTCACCTGTACCATGCAGATTGTGAGCTTCTTAGTGATTATACATTGAATTTTACATGAAACCTGGGAAACAAGAGAGCTATCCAAATCAGCAATCTGCTCATTCTGGACAATTTTACTTGGCTCATGTACTTCTGATTATGATGAACTTTGAAGTTATTGCTAAGCAGCCAATCATTTTCCCTTTATCTGCTATCTCTATAGGTGTGTACAGGAGATTTGGTGACACTAAAATTTCCATTCAGACAGAGCAAGTATTACCAAAACGTTTATCATTCTGAACATCTAGAATGACATAATATTTTCTGAGTAAAACACAATATGTACTTAAATAAAATAGCTTAAAATTGTTACATCTCAGACAAATTCAGAAGTTTCACTGGACTGAGGAATAATAACTAATAACAAAGTTTTAAGAGGCACAGTTTTCTGATAAAGTAAAAACTTCCAATTTCACAGCCACTTAACACTTGACAGTGCTCTGCACTGGAAACATTATCAGCAGCACAGGATCCCACATACTTAGAATAGGAGCATGGGTATCATCCAAGCTTATGGTGATTAAAGAAGATTCAGTATTTTCAAATCCCGCTCATCCCCAAATACAAGTTAAGTATCTCTGTAAAGCAGAACTTTCACTCAGACTCAGATATTTTGAAGGCCACTTCATTTCCATACAAACTGGCAGCATCAAGGGGAATATTAATCGTCAATAAGGACTGGAGATGGATAAAGAGAATTATAACTGCTTCCCATTTCCAGATGGTTTTGATTAGGATGGGCATGGGGACTTCTGCACTGATGGAGGGAAATGAAAAAAGGAGAACCATCATTCAGAGCATGGTAAGTTGAAAAGATAAAAGGAAAAGCATCCAGGCATGTTAATGAACTCTTCGTGGGAAGTAAATGATTGCAGGAACTAACCTTTTCTGTCCGGCAGTTATTGAGACTTAGACTATTCACAACAGCCACCTTCCCATCAAGAACCTGTTGCTCCCGCCGAAGTTGCTCCTTCATCTGTCGAGCTTCCTGGATTGCCTTGCTGACAGCATCGTGATCATTTAAATAACCTGAAAGTGAAACAGATCAAATGTACAAACGCATGGCAAAGTTTGCCTTCAACCATACCCAAGTCTTTTGTGTTGGATGATGGCTTAATGCCTGGCATGTAAAAATTTCTTCATGGAATTTGAGTAAAATTAATCAATGAATGAGTAATTGATGACTGATTTGCACAGTCAAACATGAACATGTGGCCAAACATCTGTAATAAAAACAATGTTGAAATGAAGGATGGTTGTTTCCAAATATTTGGAAAGAAGTTTAAAATATGATTTAAAATGAACTTTGTAGTTACTACTTCACTGTTCTATAGTGCAAAATAAAACATCTCATTATTTTAATGCAAGGAACATTTTCATGTCATAAGATATGGGTGTTAATTATCGCTGTGATTATTGAATTTCTCATAATATGAGCAAGCTTAGAGGAGTTTGTGGGTAGCACTATTATGTTTCTTCGATACTGAGGAATAAATCATTCAGTGTCTGAAAGAGCATTTTTCCCTTACATCTATTTATGGTGAAATAAACTACAGGTGGCAGTGCTTTGCTGTGATTCAAACTTGTAATACTTAAGAGTCTGAATTTCAAGCACCGAATATAACCAAGCACCTGCAATTGATAAGAAACCGAGGCTACTGTTAACTATAGTATGCTTGATTCGCACTCTTAGTAAGATGGTTAAATGGCCAGCTTTTGTCTGCAGCTACACACTCCAGAGTTAGTGAGAAATGCCACCAAAATATTTCTTTTAAAGAGTAACAGGGATCGGGAGCTGAACTAATTTTAACTTTGTTTTAATACCGGTCATTTATCTGCTGCACATTATGATGATGAGCAGCATGATATTAACGTAGCATACTAATGGGAGTCGGCGGTTCTTACAAATATTTAAAGGAAAGCTAATATCTCATCTTTCTCTCTCCCTATCTTTTAACTGGGGCATAAAATGGTATAAAATGAATCTGTAATATGAAATTGCCCAGAAAAGGGACTTGTTTGTGACATGAGGCTAAATCTACCCAGATCCATTGGTGAATTGTGACAGATGGAGGGACTGTGAGACAGAAGGCAGGCACTAATCACACATAAAATGACCGGCTTGCCTCAACATGTTCCATGGATTCCAGCAAACTTTACACCCTAATCCATTTTTAGAACAAAAAACATCTGGGCCATAAATCCTCTAATCTGCCAAAACACGCTATTAAATCCCATGATTTGTTGAAAAACACTAAGATTAAAGAAAGGAAATATAAAATGGCTAACTGCCGTGTTAGGAAAGTGTTATTAATACTCTTTCTTTGTCTCAATTATGAATGTTCTGGTACTAAAGAGCCTTGTCTAATCATGTCAGATTACACATCCTGGTTGTATTGCTCCACTCTTCTATCTGATCTGCTGATTGCCAAGAAACATAAAATATTTTCTTGCTGCTTAAACATTTCTCTTGAAGAAACTAATGTCAGATTAGTGAGTGCAGCGCTTCACTCTGGAAGTTTTCTCAGTGGTTCATACCTTTCCTCCTAGGTATGCAGATGATGCCTACCTTCTCTCATCTTCTTGGGGATGAAGGTAAGTTCCATGGTAGGTGACAAAGAACAGTTTTAAGAACTATTATATATTAGCCTTTCAGAGCTAATCCTTGAAATTTATTCACAGACCAAAACACTTCTGCTCTTTCTAAATACAATATGAACGGGCAAACAAACCAAGGACTGATCTTTAGATTTAATATGTACTGTAAAGGGTACTTAGCCTTATATTATCCTCAACATACTGATTTGGTCCTTCTGAACAACTGTCTTCCTGTATTATTCCTGATCCTATTCTGTTCTTTCATTATTGTAAAAGAAATACATTCTTAAACGATAGTGATGGCCTGGATGTATTTACTTAGTAAGATCTTAAGAGCATTACTCCCAATTTTCCTGTTCTCCAACTCCTGGTTATATTTTACCTCGTTTCATGCATTGCGTAGTCTATTAAACATCTCCACAGCACAAATATATTGAATAAAACCATGGATTCTTTATGCTTCTCAGGGATTGAGATGATAGCACTGCAGGAAAATGACTAACAGATGCAAGAGGAGTACAAAGTACCATGAAGGTGGTCAGCTGACAAGCATGTTCTCTAATGGCTATTTCCACGTTGAAGTGATTGCAGGTGGTAAAGGGTGTTGGCTTTAAAATAAACATGTTGCTTTTAGAGACTCTCTAGTTTCTTTGATAACATTATATGGCATTCTATCATTTGTATGTGTATGCTGTTAATCGAGGCCATTTATATATGACAGATTCAATCTTCATAGCTTCATGTGTTGATTCCTGACAATTTGTTCTCATCATAGTCAACAAATCTCCAGCCCTGCTCATTCTTTCTCAGCCAATGGCCTTATGTCAGACCAGTGAGGCTGAATGCTCCCCTTCCTGCCCCCACGCCGAATCCTGCACTCTGCTAGCCTCAGATCTCCGTTTATCCCCATTTGCCCCTGGTGTTTCAGACAGTGGTGTCTTCTACTTTCAGTCAAGGAAAATCTGTAAACATCTTCTCAATTTCTCTTCCTTTCATAGCTGGTTCTCATTTATAACATCCACTTGATCTCTCCCATGTCCACACCACAATCTGTAAGTACCTGAGCTAGTCTCTTCCCCTATTTCATGCAAAGTTGTTCCTTTAACTTTGTTTTGCCATCCCTCCCTCTCTCTCTCCTTCTCCCCCATCCTGTCTTTTCTCTTGCCTTCTGAAAGACGCTTTATCTTACACTCTCCCATTCTCTCCTCACTACAATCTTAATGTCTTTCCTCTGTAGTGTTTCAGTTGCCAAATCTTAGGGAATTTTCCATCCTTGCAGAATGGTAGTACAGTCTTAACTCTCCTGTCATTATGGAAATGTCTTCCTGGTTTCTCATCATAGCAGTTTACTTTCATCTTTCATCTCCTTCCATCTCTGCATTCTTGCCTGAGATGTTTTCTTCACCTGCTTCTTAGATTTTGCTCCAAATTTAAAATCATCAGAACAAGTGTGTGTGTTTGAAAGTTGGATGAGCTTGAATTAAACCCTAGCTTTGCCACTTGTATAAATTATACAAGTTATTTCTCTAAATCTCAATCATTTCATATGTTAAATGGGCATAACACTCACTAGATATAGTCTTTTGACAGAATAAATGATCCATGAAAGTAATTCACTGTCATTTTATTTACTAAGTGGCATAGTGACATAAACAGAACTTGGGGACTGGCTTCAGATAGATCCGGATTTCCACTCCTTGAAAAATGTAGTAACTGACAAATTATGAGCACTTAATCTGTTTCCATTTCCCTCAACCATGAAATAAATGTAATGTTAATGGAAGAATTAAATGAATTATCACATATGAAAGAGTAGACAGAACTTAGTGTCTGCGGAGGCAGTAAATCAGGTTAACCTCTTTTCTTTTCTTTCGTTTTCATTATTTATGTACCTTTAGCACTATTCTTAGATGACTTTGACCATGACAGTTCAGTTTGTGAGGGGATGTCATTTCTTGGTTGGCACTGAGGTTCAAATGAATTAGATGTTAGTCCATCAGAGTTCAAAGTGACCCCAAATCATCATTTGATGCACTTGACTTTGTCTTTTTCATAAATTTATCCAGGAATTTTTTCTAAAAACAGGACTAGAAGGGAGAGCACATGTGTAGAAAGTTGGTGAAGCTCTTGAGGAGGGATGAGGACACACACCAATGCTACTTAATATTTCAAATGAAATCCGGAAAATACTGGTTAGGAATCAACACAAACTTGCGAGGTTCTCTAACTTTCAGAGTTTGCTTTTTGTGCGTTGATGTTTCTTCTTAACCACTATTTAAAAGTCCTCCATTTCTTTGTTTTTTAAAAAAGTATCTATCATATACATTGTCAGGGGCAGAAAAGAAGGAACAAATTGGAAAGCAATTTGAGAGATAACCTCCAAGGGAGAAAAATTAGTTACCATGGATGCCCAAAGGTAAAGAAAAAAAGAAAATACACTAAATTACCTCTAATGGCTTGAATTTTGTCCCCTCAAAGACATATACAAGTCCAAAACCCCAGTATCTCTATGAATGGTCTTATTTGGAAATAAGGTCTGTAAAGATATAATTAAGGTAGCTGAGTTGAGTTCACCCAGAATTTTGAAGTAAGTCCTAATCCAGTGACAGGTGTCCTTGTAAGAAAATGAGAGAAAGATTTGACCCACAGAGAAAGGGGAAAACTTTAGACTGAAAACATGAGCCAGGTAAACCTCTCCTCCTTTAAATTGTGGGGGCTGGGGCATACAGCTAGCAATGGGAGAGCTGACTAATAACAAAACCCTTTGTACCCTACTGCTTAAAGGAGTATTTCATAAAAGATGATCTGTCCTAGCCTGTTAAAAAATCCATGCTCAAGGAAGTTTAGGAAATATTAATGTTGAAAAGATTTTTGCATTGTGTGAATTTTCAAAATCTTGAAGGTGTTAATATGCACTGTAAATCTTCAAGAGATGACAACAGGGTGCAGTCTTTTCCAAAATACAATGAAATCTTTGAAATTCTTTAATGTCCCCCTAAAGATACGATTGCGGGATGAGTTTCATACATTTCAACATGGTCTAAAAGTTTCTTCTTGTCTTAACTCTGCTTGTCCTTCCCATGTCCCCTCTGGCCAGTTTCTCCTGAGTCCTGTCTTTAAGCTACAGAGACCTTTTCCTGGCTCCAAGGACAGGCCTTTGCCCTCTCGTCTCTCAAGCTTCCTCTCTTGAGGAAATGCTCTTTTTCTGACATGTTCAGGTATTTATTCAAAATTTATCCCTTCTCCGAGGACTTCTCTGACACAACCCCGACATGATCTTTGCAAGTTTAGTTTCGCCATGTATCTGCCTTCAAAACTTTCTGAATGCTTTTTTTTTTCCAACAGTCTTGATGTTTTTAAAAATGGTCTGTTGCTTTAGCCTATTACTTGAAGGCATTTGTTTTTACTCAATCTTTCATTATTTTGGCCTATATTAGGGTTGTCAGAAGGAATAAAAACATATTTTTAAGTTAAAAGCATCTGCCATTTTAATTCTAAATTCATTGGTTATCTCTGTCTTCACAGCAGAAACCTATGCCTCATGGCTTCATGGATTTAACCAATAATGTGAAGGCAACACAAATCTGGATTTTCTACATATGTATTTTACATAAAACTTTTTAGCTGTAAGTAAATGTAAGAGCATAACTGTTTCCAGTGATTTCAACAAGTACTATTTTCTTTCATTTCTGAGGTTACTTATAATCAAATTTTGGTACACTGATATGTAACTTTTTTTAATCTGTGAAAGCTCGCTGGACTTAGATAATAAAAGTGAAAATAATTTTATAAACTGTAAAGTGCTACATAATTATCACATGTGATTCAATGATACCCTTAATTTCCTCATAATCTATGAATTATAGTATTTTCAATTAGCAACTCTGATGAAAGGTTTTCTCAGTAAAATCCTCATCTAAGTTATTCTCCTTAAAAAAAGGTAAACTAATGTAATTTCACACTAATGTTTGCCTTCATGTCATTATGTTTTAAATCGGGAAGTAATAGAAATAATCTATGTAATAAACATGGATATACTTTCCTTCATTTTATGTGGCATGTCGCCCCTGCATTTGTACAGGAAGACTGTTTGTGTGCCCCTGGGGAGTGAATGGTAGGGTTACACATTCCAGTATGTGAAACAAATGCACCAGGACAGAGGCTGTGGGCACCTGAAGCTTCAGCCCAGGTCTGCTTGTTCTCTAGCCTTTGCAAAATGTACGGCACACAGAAGGTATTTAATTCTCACTTGGACAGATATGTGAAAGCGTAAACCATTAAGAACACCACTCAATGTAGAGGGGCCACCAACAGACAATAACTAAAAAGAAGGAAGATTACGGTTCTAAGCATCAACCTCCAATGGCCACGACTATACACCACTTATTAGGACACGTGTATTTATTTCCTTAAAATTAACATAGGGACAAGGAGTGTAGCTCTGCAGTATAGGGCATGCTTGGCATGTGTGAAGCCCTGGGTTTGTTCACCAGTGCTACAAGAACACAACAAAAGTTAAACATAGCATCATAGGATGGTCTATACTCTGAAAGGAGTGTACTTTTAATGTCTGAGTGTGCACAGAGCCTTATTTGTAAAATGACAACTTTTGGCTAGATGATACAGATATCGGCTCTATCTAGTTAAGGGTCTATAATTTTAAAATAACTGCAGTGAGAAAATAGATGGAAAAATGCTTTGAAAAAACTTAATAGTGTTATACATATGTGCAACACTGGTGAAAAGGGCATATGAAGGAAAGATAACATCCGGGTGAAAGACTAAAATCATCCATCATTTTGCTGAGCTACTCATGCCTTTGAAGGATTCCCTTTTTTAGGCCCTGCATATCATCCATGTACCAATCAAAACCATTCTTACAGAACACACAGTAATATTGGCCACCAATTTAAAAAAGTCACTTTCTGTATTTGTAGTTAACAGATGTAAAGCAAAGAGCTCCATGCCATTAACGATAGCTTAAGTTATCTTCTGGTCCACAGTTTTCCATAGTTTATTAATGGCATAACACATTAATTCTTCTTTCGGAGTGACCTTTACAACACCATTAATCCTCACAGCTTTTATCCAACTACATTATTACTCATTACATTTTCAGCTTTCAACATCTGCATTTGTTGAAAAGGGAAAAGTAAATTGTAGTGGCCTCAAACTCTTGGAAAATATGAGGGATGTGCATGTGCTGAGTGGACTTTTCAGGAAAAAAAAGATATTTTAGGAATCGAGAAAGTCATATGATAAATGTTTAAGACACTCTTGCCTTTATAAAATACTTTGTCAAACTTAAAATCCTTGAGAATGCTGAAGTAAAAAGTACATGTATGATAAAACACATATATTTTAGTTATTCTATTAGTTAAATATTTTAGTTCTAAGAACATTACAAAAGTAGCTCATATATCAACACTGTGATATTTATGAGCCTTCATTTATATTATGGCAGTGAAACATTCTTGCCAAATACAATATTATTTTCTCTTACGTGGTTAGTACATAAATGTAAATCTGATCTGACCGACATTGAGGACGCTGAGCAGAGTAACTGAGCATTAGCCCTTAATGGTGAAAGAGCACATGTGAATCCCATGCTCCTCCAAACTTCAGTTCTCACTCTTTCTGTTCTGACTGCTGCCCTGCTGCTCTGGACTGAATTCCCCTTAACAAATAATTTGGGATTCTATCTAGTTTGTGGGATTGAATCATCTGAAATACACTCCCCCTTCAGTCTTCTCTCGGTCTGGCCTACAATTTCTGCGAACTATGGCCATTTTCTCTTCATTTCCTTCACTCTCAAAAGATGGAGATGTTCTCCTTCCTATACCTGGTACTTGTTTGGCGTCTTTTGCTATAGCGTCACCCTGTATCGCTGCTGCACATCTGTATGTCTCCCAACTCTTCTTTGTGTGCTAATTCTTAAACCTGTGTCTGCTCAGCCGTATCAATTGTGCTGTCTTTTCTCTCATGTTCTTCAAATCTGGGTACCTAGAAGTCTACTGAAACCATTCTACTGAAATTTCTTTGTCAGAATCATCTATCCAGGAGCTCCAGATAAACCTAAAGTTCTTGTGTTCTGTCACTTTCCTGAAGAAGGAGCCACCACTAAGAATAACCTGTAGTTTGAGGAATACCCTTTGATCTTTCTAGGCCAAGGTGATGTTGCCCTACCTTCATTCTTATTCTAAAGTGCTCTGGATTAAAATATATCCATAGATACTATACTTGGAAACTATTTTCTTCAAAAGTCAGAGCACGATTATCCTTTCCCATGAGTTGGGTGGACTACATGATACTCTTGTAATGAGCAGAATGAAACAGAACTGAGGATGTGTGACTTTGAAGAAGAGGTCATAAAAGGCACTGCGGCTTTCTTTTTACACATTCTCTCTTGGATCACTCACTTGGAAAGACTTTCTGTCATGCTATGAGCAGCCCTGGGGACAGACCCATGTGGCAAAGAGCTGAGGGCTCCAACCAACAACCATGTAAGCAAGTCATCATGGAAACGGGTCATTCATTCCAAGTAAAGCCCACAGATGACTGCAGCTCTGGCTGCAATTACATGACAGATCCTCGCCAGAATTAACCAGCTGCGCCGACACTTTGAAACTGACATAATAAATGTTGGCTGTTGTAAGGGACTAAGTCTCAACTTTTAATATACCAACAGATAACAACTACAATAGGAGCTCCTATGATTCATTCACTTTTCTTCCTACTAGGAATAATCTTTCTGGGTGAACTTTTTTGCTGTCTGGCTTCAGCAGCCTTGTCAAGAATAATTTCCACATCTAAAATTCCAGCACCCCCTTTACATTATCAGGAGGCTTACAGCTACCTTCTGAACACCCTGTGTTTCAAATTCAACACATACTAAGCTTGTATATTTAGGTCTCCTCCCAATTTCATCCCACTTTTGTCTTCTCTTTCAGAATTCATGGAGACAAAAATCTTTATTAGTTCATAAATTCTAAATCCTAGATGTCTGTCTCCAATTTGACCCTTACCAGATAGATATATTTGGTTGTGGAAGAGTTATGTCAATTCTTTTTAAATAATATCTCCTCAATTTATTCTCCCCTTTGATTTAGCATATGTATCTCTACTCTTGTCTTACACTAAAACAAAGTGTTCTGATTCTAATATCTTTCTGTTACTAATATGCTTCTGAAAGTTCTGATCACATTGTTTTTTGGAAAAAAAGTCAAAATATCATCAATCTGATCCCATCCAAATCTTTTCAGTTTTAGTGTTCATAACTTTCTACTATATATTCATTCCATTCTTGAGGCAAATTAGTGCATTTCTAAAAGAACATATTATTCTACTGAGTTTTTTTTTTCTTAAAATCTATAATGCCTAGGAATGTATCTCTTCTGCAAAGCTCAGTTTTTATTACACTATCTTTAACTTAGTTTTTCTGGATGCTTCCCAGAATCTGATCTTCGCTTTGACTATAGGACTAGTGGCTGTGCTCTGAAGTAGCACTTTTTGTACCTGACTTGGACCACAGGATAGGTAACTTTTCCCCAAGTAAACTAAGCTACTTACTTGAGGGCTGGTCAGTATGCTGGCCTCCTCATCATTGTATTCAAGTAATAAACATTTCAATGATTGTGCAATGAATGACTGAATTAAGTATTTACATTATAGTTTATGCACAAAATAAAAATCACTAATTTTTTTGTCATATTATAGAAACATTGCCTGATGTTTGTTTACTGAAATTATAGTTATGGGGAAGCGAAGTCATCAAAGACTTCCCAAAAAATGGAATGAAATGAACTTCATGACCTTTTTTTTTCCTGATCTAGGCAAAATATATTTCATCATTTGTACACAACACAAAAATGGAAATAAATTTCAGTGATGGAAAAGGAAATTACAAACTAACATGCTGGTACTACAGCTCACTACGGTTGGTCATTTAGACTTCTTTTTAAAAATAAACTTATTATGGACAAGTAGCTACATAAATAAACTTAACTCATTCAATTGTATTTTTAGGGGACATTATGACCTGGACTCAATGTATAGAAATTGAAACTTCACTACTGAATTTAAAGCCATGCGCAAGGTTATGTGTGATAGGCCATCGAAGATTTCATTCAATTGCCATACACAGACAGTCACAGAGAACAAAGAGGCAGAACTTACCTATTGTGCTAACTCTGGCCGAAGGACTAGCTAACGTTGCTGGGACAGAGGCTTTGAGGGGGCCTGCCCCACTGTTTATTCTCAGAACTGGCATATGGGGAGAGGTGGGTGATGTGGGTGATTTGCCATCAGAGGTCTTGGGTTTAGCTGATAGGTTCAGTGGCTGTGCCACTTCATCCTGCAAAGATCATCAGAACATGAGCTGTGATAAGGAAAGGTTGATTTAAAATGTGTAGAAAAACACAGGTCTACAGCCTGTCATTTCCCAGTAAATTATTCTACCAATCCGCGATCTTAACATTTAATCTGAACATGACAATGTTTCGTTAGCTGTCAACATAATGTCACTTTCAACTACATATAGCAATCCTTTGTTGTAAAAGACAAAGTATAAATGCCCTCAGCTATCCACAGAAAGCATACAATTAATGTAACCTGCAAGACATGTTTAAATATCCCTTTATAATATTCATTTTCAAAACCTCTAAAGAGCAGGGGTTCAATCTCAAGCATCTCTGTATCCTTCTGGGTAGGCAGGGAACTTCGCTGATGTAGGACTTAAAATGGTTGTGCAGCTCTGATCAGAACTGCTGTCTTAGTTAAACACAAAAGAGAAGAACATTTTCTAACTTTCTTATAAAATAACCACTTCACCTAGGTTTCCAAGAAACACTTTTGAATTTTATTTAAAAATTAAAACAAATTATCATTAACATTGCCTTAATATGTACTACTTATTTATATATGACACGGTTCTAAACACTTCACGCACATCATGTTTTTAAAATCCAGATTGGTTTTCTAGATTTTCCTTAGTGTATCTTATATGTGGCATGAAGATCTACATCAATTAGGCACAGTTGATAATTTTCACCTGTTCTATGTTTCAACAAATGATTTTACATCTTCATATATTAGCTAATAGGTGATTTCATTCATAAAATTTATGAATCCTACCATATAACTAAAATTTCTATTGTGTCTTATAGGTATCAGATAATATCACTTTTCTAAAATTGCAAATAAGGGAAATTATCTGTATTCCTTTCCTGTATGCTAAAATTAGAATACTGTGCCTCCTGTTTGTACAACATTATTTACATTATATCCAATTTTATATACACATTATGGTAGAATAAAAATTTAGTTTCACCTTAGGTAGTATTTCATGAATAAGAATATAAAATATTTACCAATAGAAGAACAAATGCTTGAAAGCAGAAAATCTTTTAATCAAATAGGATAATTAGGTGACTTGGAAACATGTTAATTAACGTAAACACATTTGGGGGGGTACCTGGGATCGAACTTGGGACTTTGCGCTTGCTAGGCAGGTGGTAGAGAAACTGACCTAAATCCCCAGCCCTCAAGCAAAATTTTTACTTATTCACCCCCAAACACTGAAATTAATCATTGTATAAAATTACAGCTATTTCAATTTTGTATTCTAAAGTTTATATTCTAGGTTTGATTCTGTGCTTAGGTGTACTTAACAAAATTCATGAACTGCCTAGGAAAAACTACTCTCCAAATATTCTAGTTCATTTTCTGTTTGTTTCAGAGAAAAGAATAGTATTTGAAAATCCATGAGATAATTCAAATTGGCAATCTGGTATTTTATGAGATACATAATAATGATCTTTACTTCAAATGTGTTTTGATTCATAGCATCTTGATAGGAAGTAAAATAGGGTAATTTCATGAATGACTCAATACCTAAGTTGGAGAAATTTTCTGCAGCATCTAAAACACTATAAGGGAAAAATTATCCCCAGATCACTCATTTGAAACACTCACGTGGACGGTTCAGACAGAAGTATTGTGTCCATTTTACGTATGTATTTGGGTATGGATGAGCAGCTGTCAACATGAGCTCCCTGGTCTAGCACCCTTAGCACCAGGGAGGAGCTCGTAGAAAGGCAAACTATAACGGCTGCTTTGAGGCTTTGCCCAGAAATCTGTGTTTTACTAATAACACAAAGTATTCCCAGATGATTCTGATAACTAACACGTTTGAGGACCACTGCCTTATACAATGTAAAGGGAGCATAAAGTTTTTTAAAAGCATTCTTAATATGAGCAGGCAAAACTACAAATTACATAACATTACCTCAGTCTTTAACATCTGATTCGGACACAGTGGATGCTAACAATAAACCCTGGTACCTTTTATGTGTGTAATACACTAAATGCCACTGAGATTCCATGGGATGGACAATAAGGATCAGAATCCAGATCTTGACTCCACATATTAAGCCTAAATATACTGATTGCCTGGTATGAACTTCGCTAAGTATTTTCTATGCAGCTATGAATATTCCAGGCACTTCCTCCCCTTCACCAAATGCTGTACCTGTTTACTACCCTCTGTGTGAAAGCAATGGCCTCTCTGACAGCCTTAGAATTTCCTTTCGACAATATCAACAACTCTTGAAAAAGTTTTGGGGAATGCTTCAAGAAATTAAAAGTAGCTGTTTAGCTTGCCTATGCAGGAAAAACAGTGAAGGCAAATGTATTCCGAGCCTTGGAATAGGAGAGATTTACGAGCACAGAGGAAATAGAGTGTAGGTGTGTACACAAGGGGATGGACGGTGTTGATGAAGAGGAGAGGACGCTGATGGGGTGAAATGTCATACGTCTTAGCTTTAAACACGAAGAGCTATTACCTGTGCATTTATTAAAGCAAGAGACCCACTGGAACTCTTAACATTCCTAATTCAAGGCAGCACAGATGTCTGAAAGCCAAAAAGTGCAAGGCCCCAAGGACATGATAGAGGCTGACAGTTCCAAAGTTGATATAAATGTCACTCAAAATTGCCCTTTTATTCTCTTCCGCCCTGTGACCCAGCAGATAGTATATTTAGGAAGAACTCACATGTGTGATCCTTATAGTGGTAACTGAATAAATAACTTTGATTCATTGTATATTAGTATTTCAAAATTTGCCTTCATCAGTATTTACTTCCAGGATACTACACCAAGAGCTCATTATTCATGAAAAATACAGAAATTACAGTAGTTTCCCATTTTCTATTAATTTTTTTTCATTTGAAAAGATGCAAATGTAAAAACCTTAACTATGAAATAGACATGATCTGTTTATGGTACACATTCTCACAATTATGACTATGAGCAATGACTATTGAAGAGATATATTTTTTTAGTTTATTTAAAAACAACTGGAAAGCTTAGCATGATTGCTACTATTCTTACAAATAAAGCATCAACTTAAAAATACATATAAACAAGTTACAAATAAAACAATATATATAACTTTCAAGGTCAAGAAAGCACTGTAAAATATAGCATTTCTTAAAGTATATCATCACAAATTGAGGAAAGTAACTTCCATTTCATCCCATGCTCAATTAGTAAATGTTGTTGCCAATTTAAACTATTGAGAAGGCATATTTCTTGTACACGAAGTGATAGTTACAAAAAGTTTTTGTATTTGTTGAGTAGTTCCCATTGCACACAATAACATATAAACTATTTAAACTTAAATAAACATGAAAGCTAAATTAAATATGTTTATATTAATAGGAAGCTATTATTATTTGTAGATTTCACTATAAATATTTTAAATCAATTACTTAATCTTAAGCACCGCAAAGTAATTAATAATCTCATGGAGGAAACTAAGGTTTAAAAGTTCTATTCAGGATCAGGTGTTTGGACTCAACATACAATGCTCTTTAAAATATATGTGTCAACTTTCACTGTAAACTTAAAATGACATGGATTGAATGTAATTTCTGAAATTTGGACCTAACCATGTAATTCTATCATATAATAAACCACATGAAGGTTAATATACATGAAATAAACTAATACGCGCATTTGCTATTTTGTACATTTGTTATAAAGTTAAGACACAAATTGTAGATTATGTTTTAGTAACTTTGTGTGCTTTTCTCTTCTCTATAATGTAAAGCATCAAAAATTTCTTTTGGTAATACTCAAAAGTTGTTTAGACTATATTTTCAGAAAAATAATAAGAGTTCACATAAAACATATCGAGGAGAGTCTACAGCCATACCACCCTGAACGCACTGATCTCATATGATCTCAGAAGCTAAGAGGGTCGGGCCTGGTTAGTACTTAGATGGGAGACATATCTAGGAGAAAATATTTTATATTTACAAATACAAGTTTTAGGAATTTCTCATGAATATAATTTCTTCTAATAAACTACTGGATCCAAGAAGGAATGCAAAGCAAATAAAATCCAAATAAACATTGTCTATGCATGTTTTGTTTACTCATAACTACTGTAACTTGTCTGAAAACAAGCATCTCAACATGATTTTGTGCGCACTGTACTCAAAATATTATGGAGTCTTTAATTAGTATTTCAGGCTGTGACAGTCCACCTTAGAGATAATTTTTATTTTTACATCAGGAATCAAACTCAGGACCTTATGTTTGCCAGGCAGGTATAGCACCAGTGAGCTAAATTCCCAGCCCAGAGATAAGTTATGTAGAGAAAATAATGTGACACACATTTGAAACTTTCGATGTACTGAAGAAACAAAAACTGTCATCAAAAACATATAGATTATTCTAGATAATCTTAACACTGTAAAATTACTATAGAAAACCATAATCTATTTCATTTAGATACATTTATTCTAGAAAAGACATGTTTTAACAAAATTATATTAATATTCATCTTTTTATGATGTACAACAACCAAATGACTCAGAAAAATCAAATATAATTTAACAAAAACATGTTCACAATCCAAGAGGCTTATTCCTCTTCTCCTTCTCTCCCTCGGACTGTCATTTCTTTGCTAAAAAATTTTAATAGAGAAGTAAAAGCGATAGGGATATCACTACCCTAAGAAAGTCTGCTCATGTCTTTCCATTTTTATCCTTGTCCTTCACAATATGGAAATAGACCTACTTCTGGGTTGTTGGCCCATACAATGCCCCTCTTATGACATGCTAATAATAATATACTTCAGAATAAAATGTTCACCTTTACATCATTATCATTATTCAAATGTTAGTTGCTTTGAAATATTTACCTCAATTATCGAATATCAAACATTTGGCAGTTAAATCCATATTACGGTGATGTCAAAAAGCAAGAATATATAAGTTTATTTACTCACTCATTCATACATCTACTCTTTTGTTATTTATCACATGGTACTTCCACTACCTATAAATG